TTATCCTTCAACACGACGAGCGACGATGATACGATGGATGATCCGACGAGCTACGATGAGGTTCTGCGGCGGCCGGACCGAGATCATTGGATTGCGGCTATGCGTGAGGAAAATGCATCCCTCAGCGAGAATAGCACGTGGGTGCTCACCGATCTGCCTGAAGGGCGGAAAGCGATTCGGAACAAGTGGGTGTACCGAACGAAGCGAGGTCTCGACGGAACCATCCAGAGGTACAAGGTCCGCCTCGTGGTGAAGGGCTGCTCTCAACGACCTGGTCTGGACTACGACGAGGTGTACTCCCCGGTCGTGCGGTACGCGACCGTCCGGTATCTGATGGCACTGGCGGTGCGGTACAACTTGGATATTGACCAAATGGACGCGGTCACTGCATTCCTGCAGAGCGAGCTGAAGGACGAGGAAGGGTTCGATGCGTCGAATGGAAAGGTGTGCAGACTGAAGAAGGCCCTCTACGGTCTCAAGCAGTCCAGCCGCGTATGGAACACGCAGTTGGATGTGGTGCTGCAGGAGTTCGGACTGAAACGGTCGAGCGTGGATCCCTTTTTGTACTGGTGCATCCGTGGAGGAAAGATGATGTTTGTGACTATCTACGTCGACGATCTCTTGATTTTCACAAACGATCGGAAGCAAAAGAAGAAGCTGAAGGCCCATCTGCACAAGCGGTTCCAAATGAAAGACCTCGGGGAGGCGCAACAATGTCTTGGCATCAGAATCACGAGGAAGCGTGAAGAAGGCAAGCTGTGGTTGGATCAACAAGCCTACATGGAAGACATCGTCAATCGCTTCGGTATGGCCGATGCCCACCCAGTTGCAACACCAGCAGATCCAAGCATCAAGTTGGACAAGTCGATGGCACCGAAGACGAAATCTGAAATGGAAGAAATTAAGTCAGTGCCATACAAGGAAGCAGTCGGGTGTTTGTCGTTTGCAGCTCAAGTCACCCGACCGGATATTGCTTTTGCCGTCAACGTTGTGAGCCAGTACAGTGCCAACCCTGGCCGTCCTCACTGGGAAGCGGTGAAGAGGATAATCCGGTACCTGAAAGGTACAATAACCAAGAAGCTAGAGTACTCGACAAGCGGTCCAGCGGACATAGTTGGGTACAGCGATGCCGATTGGGGAGGAGATGCGGACGACCGGAAATCCACAACCGGTTATGTGTTCATGATGCAGGGAGGTGCGATCTCGTGGAACGTCAAGAAGCAGCCTACCGTAGCCCTTTCGTCCTGTGAAGCGGAATACATGGCCATGTCTCGCACGATCCAGGAAGCTATGTGGTGGAGTAATCTGCAGTCGCAGTTTTGCGAGGCCAAACCGATTTCCGTGTGCTGCGATAATCAATCGGCAATCAGCATCGCCAACAACGGTTCGTATAACCCCCGGACCAAGCACGTCAGTATACTGTACCATTTCGTGCATGATAGCCTGCAGCATGGTGTCGTCCAACTGAGCTACACGTCGACAACGGAACAGCCAGCCGATGGGTTCACGAAGCCGATGACCGTTCAGAAGCAGCAGAAGTTTCGGAAGCTAACTGGCGTCGCGGATTAGGGAGGAGTATTGTGATCGTAGCAACCCAGTAATTCGCGTCGCTATATGCACTTGTTATTAGTTGCTAAGTTTCTGAATAAAATTTTTATTCCACTGTTCAACGTCAACCGATAAAGACGTGTTTCAGTTACTCTCTACAATTCTAATAAATAAAGTTTTAAAAAATGTCCATAAGTTCTTGGAACTTCATTTACATCATTTTCCTGTCTGGCGTCCCAACTTCTTTAAAATGTTGTGGTTTTTGTTCTTATTAGTTCCGGCATGGAAATTCCCTGTAGTCTCAGAACTTCTATATACAAGCTACGTTCTGTATACAAGCTACGTCGCCTCCCTAAAGATCTTTAATCTCAACTGTAGTTTCCGTAAATTCTGTAAAGTTCTTGTAATTTTCACTCGCTTTGGCTCCTGATATCCAGTGAAGTTCTCGAAGTTTTCTGGAAATCTTTGGAATCACCCTGATGTTTTAGGAACTTCCTTTAATTTTTTATGAAATTCTTGTTAATGGAACTAACATAAAGTTTTAAAAATTATCCATGAGTTCTTGGACCTTCATTAAAGGTCCCGAAATTTGGAGGAGGGACTCCTAATGACCCAACTTCTATAAAATTTTGTGGACTTTGTTCTTATAACATCTTGTTAGTTCCTACCATTTTTCTGAAGTAGATCAAAATGTTCCTGAAGTTTTCGAAACTTCTCTCATGTTTCCGGATGCTCATGGAACTGCTCAGTAGTTATCAAACATTTTCCGAAACTCTTTCAACTTACCGAAAGATATCTCAAATCTCGATGAACATTTCAAATGGTCCTATCTGCTTTGATCGATTCTCTTCATCGACTTTCTCTTTGCATAACCACTGCTATGCAAACAGATTTCGCGCTAATTTTACCACATAGTTTGATAAAGGAGGTTCTTATCTAGCATCCAAAACGTCAAATACAACAGGGAAAAGTTTAGCAGCTGAATTAACCATTTAATTCAAGCAGTTGAAAATGACTCGAACTTCGAAATAACACAATATTTTAAGAGTTTTTCTTCTAGAACCACGAGAAAAGTAGCCAAAAGTAGTGCGTTTTATAGTAAAATCAAAGTCGATGTTATAATAAGAGTCCCACCAAGAGAAAATGTTGCGAACAAGCAGCACTGTTTGTAATTAATTTTTCGTCAGAGTAAACGGCAACCAGATTTTTTGCGTTAGCATCGCATGACTTTCATTCAGAAGTGAAAAATTTTATGCCGATAACGGAGCTTCGCGGAGACAAAAACAATTATAGAACCTGAAAAATGTTCAAACAAGTGCTTGGTATAACTTATAAATACCACAATGTACTAAATAAAGCGGAGAAATGTTTTTCATCTCAAATTACTAAAATATTGTCAGTAATGAATGCAATACTTGTTTTTCACAGGCTGTGGGAACAATAGTGTTTATTTACTTTGCTTGTTTGGTACCCCGCTTGACAGTTCGATTGGTACTTCTGGCTTCACTCTTGGCGGGACTCTTATGATAACATTGACTCTGAGTAAAATAGTCATTTGTTGGCTCAATTGTTTGAAATCGCTGGTAGAAAGTCACGGTAAAACTGCTTGACAAAGTGGTCCATTGACAAAAGAGAAAGTCGGTGAAGAGAATCGATCAATGCAGATAGGACCTTTTGAAATGTTTATCTAGAAATTGTCATAAAATTGACCACTTTGTCAAGCAGTTTTGGCGTGACTTTCTACCAGCGATTTCACAAAGCTGAACCAACTAATTTCTATTTTTTTATGAAACGCACAAATGTTGGCTACTTTTCTCGAGGTTCTAGAAGAAAAACTCTCAAAATAATGTTTCATTTCAAAGTTCGAGTGGTAGTAAACGTCATTTTATCTGCTCGAATGAAATGGTTAATTAATTGAGTAATCTTTTTGCTGAGGGGGGACGTGCTGTCAAACCAGCCTACTGATCATTCTTATATGAAACTGGTTCCAAACGAAAACAAACGCTGTAGGTTTCTTATGGCTTGTTTACATTTGGAACCAGTTATGCGAGGTAGGCGACGATTGTTCGTATTTGACAGCCACCTCCCCCCTTTTGTGTTTTTGCAGTCGTTAAATCTTAGAGAAAGAATTCAGTGCCAACATTTCAAAGGGGCGTAATTGCTTTTGTAAACAATGACTTTAGCCGTCAATTTCTCGTGAATGAAATCTTACCTATCCAAAATAGCAATGCTAGCTGGTAGAGGAGACATTCCTCTACCTGCTGGTGTTATTATTTTTCATTCGTGAGCTTTTATTCGCGAGAAATCGACGGCTAAAGCCATTGTTTACAAATGCAATTACGCCCCTTTGAAATGTTGGCACTGAATTATATTAATTATAATTATTTCTCTAAGGTGCAATGAACTCAATGTTGGGTTGTTTTTCATTTCCGTGAATTTAAATATCTGCTCGAATTGAAATGTCAGATGCCCCTTCTAACATAAGCAGCCCATGGCACAAGCACATCTTGACAAGTTCTAAAAATAAACATTGTAGCACAGGGTGAGTCTAAAGTAAAAATATTTCTGAGGCATAAAAATCTCAGGTCACGTCTTCCGTCGGAAGGGAAGCAAAGCCGTTGGTTCCGGCCCATGTGTGTTGAATGGGTGCGATATCCTACGCAGGTGTGGAAGCTGCCTTCCTGCACATTCGATTGCCGTCAATGGATGGTAATCGATGTCCGTCGGTGATTGGCACTAGATTGCGGAACAGAGACCGACGTTAAATAAAAGAATGAATGAGGAAGGTGAAAAGCTCAACCTTATTGGCTTTCGTGGAAAGATGTTACAGTACCTATATAATTTACGAAAAAAGCAACCGAAAACGCTATAAAATACCATAAGCGAACGATAACCCAAATCATAGAGCTATTCCACAAATGGTTTGGATGATACCCAGAACACGTCGTTAAGCGCGTTAAGCAAAATAACAATAACATTTCAAATGGTCCTATCTACTTTTAACGATTCTCTTCATCGACTTTCTCTTTTCATAACCACTGCTATGCAAACAGATTTCGCGCTAATTCTACCACATAGTTTGATAAAGAAGGTTCTTATCTAGCATCCACAACGTCAAATACAACAGGGAAAGGTTTTTCAGCTGAGTTATTGACAAAAGAGAAAGTCGATGAAGAGAATCGATCAATCCAGATAAGACCTTTTAAAATGTTTATCTAGATTTATTAGGCGTGCGCAGAAAATGAACAAAAAATCCTTCTCTTCCGTGACAGTGTTATTGCACACTGCCGTGACCAGGATTCGAACCTGGGTTACTACGGCCACAACGTAGGGTCCTAACCACTAGACGATCACGGCTATCGAGAGCGGGTGCACTACGCACATTCAAAAGCGCTACATATTAAAAAAAAACAATAACAAATTACGACTGTTTATTCGTTTTTCCACTTCGATTAACTTTTCAACATTTTCTTTAGCAAATCAACTGCCTTGGCCATATCTACCTTCTGGTCCGTCGCTTTGGCAATCTCCCCGGCTAGCGCGAACAGCATCTTTTCCTTCCCCTTCCGGTACTTCTCCACCACCTTTGGATTCTTCTCAATCACGTCCCTACAGAGTGGCTCGATCCGGGCCAAATCGGTTATCATCAGCCAATCATTGCGCTGGGCTATCACCGTAGGACTTTCCGCTCCTTCTTGGTCGAGCGCCTCCTGGAGAATCAACCTCGCCAGGTATGGGTTGATGATGTTCCCGTCGAACATGTCCACCACCTCTGCCAAGTGAGCGGACGAGATCCGGCACTGTTCGATGTCGAGTTTGTTCTTGTTCAGAATCGTCAGCAGTTCGTTGACTAGGCAATTGGCCACCGTTTTGGGGGAGCGCATTTTGCCCGGTTCATCCAGTATCGAACGGAAGTGACCGTGCAAGGTCATGTCGTTCTAGAAAATTAAACAAGGGAAAACATAAGGGAACTACTGAGCGCCAAAGCACGTATCATGAATCTTACCACTAGAATGATGGCCATTTCCGGTGTGAGGTTGTGTACTTCCACTAGCTGCTTGCGCGTTTCCTCCGGCAGTTCCGGCAAGTTTGCACCAATCTGGACGGCATCAACCACATTTTCGGCATCACATTCGCCTTCGACGACGTTCACGTGCAGCGGCGGTAGGTTCGGTTCCGGCATAAACCTGTAATCCTGAACCACTTCCTTGTCACGCATCGCTATCGTGCGCTTCCCGGTGGCATCCCAGGCACGAGTTTCGTTGAAGATTCTGCCACCATCGTCCAGGATGCCGATCTGTCGTTCGATTTCGAACTCAACCGCCTGGGCAACGGCTCGGACGGAACCAATGTTTTTGACTTCGGTTCGCGTGCCCAGGGCAGTGTTTTCCTTGTGCACCGAAATGTTGGCATCCACTCGAAGGGCACCCTCTGGGGGACGGGGGAAAAGAAGTTAGGTAGGTAAAAAAAAATCGTCTCCCCGCGACAGTGTTTTTTTGCACACTGCCGTGACCAGGATTCGAACCTGGGTTACTACGGCCACAACGTAGGGTCCTAACCACTAGACGATCACGGCTACCGAGACATGTCAAACTGCGCTCCATAAAGTTATTTTTGAATTCAATGGGGTAGAACGTTGCTCATTGGCCAGATTTACGACTTTCGAAGTAAAAAATAGAAGTCTAGTAACAGTGCTACCAAAACAGTTGCTAAATTGATTAATTGATTCGAGCAGTTGGAAATTTGGTATGGATAGAAATCTCCTTATACCTTTTGGCAAATTTCTATTGCTGATTATTCATAAAATGTATAAGTCAACTAATAAGCAGACGCCTTGCTAAAAGTTAATGAAGATCATGTGTCAAATGAAGTTACCTTTTATGCATTCTTATAGGACATATGTGGTTTGTCTTAAGGAATGTATAAGGCTGATGTTTTGGCAAAAATGTATAAGTGAAACACATGAAGAAAATAATTGATTTTCGTTTCGTGTACGTTTTTCGTTTTTAACCTGCAGCTCTATGGAAAATGTTTGTTGCTCAACCGTCCTAATATGGCCATTAAATACAAGGAAGGACACGATTGACGGAATTATTTTGTCATACAATTTGCTTTACCACTTTGCATTTCTAAGGGACCACATCTGGTGACCTACTTAATGTACATACAAAGTTCAAAATTAATCTAAATGTTTGCTGCAGAGACGGAAGCTTCGTATTTAATTTTCAGATCTATTTGAAATTCTGGTTGGCAAGATTTGGCTTATCCGATTAAATGGTTGATATCTGGTTTGATAAACCGCATCGGCTCAAGCTGAAATTTTCACAGTGAAAAGATCGCCTCAATTTCACACATAACATATCTGACGTTTGGTGTTAGAAATAGAGCGATTTCCCCGAGTTACCTTTGTTACTAACGTAAAATCGTAAAATCGTAAAATGTTAAAATCGGATTCAACACGCGTATAAAACATTCCCAATCGATAGGTCTTTGTTCCCTCTAACCGAAGACACCATATCAACAACTTGATATGATGTCTTTGCTCTAACTCAACAGTTTGATCAAATTGAATATGAGAAATCGCATCAGCAAGACAAAATTTGAGGATGTATGTGCGTCTGGGTCTGGAGGGATTTCGTGAATCTTGTCCGACTGTACATATAGGAAAGACTGTACAGAATCATTACATTCGTAGCAGATTTGGGACGACCTCCTGCCAGAGATTTTATGAAAATGAAGCAATAAATTCTAGATTGTTCAACCTTAGCATAAATAAGAACCTATTTTCTCGAGGTTCTCGAAGACAAAATATCAACATATTGTTCTCCATGGTCAAAGTTCGATTGCTAGGAAACGTCATTTTAAACTGCTCGAATGATGTGATCCATGCAGACATGCAAAAAACATCCTGCGTCGGCCGGGAATCGAACCCGGATCAACTGCTTGGAAGGCAACTATGCTGACCATTACACCACCGACGCCTTGTCAATCTAGGAGAAAATAGCACATTTGTTTCTACGGGTATGACAAGCCTGCAATATTTCTGATCGATCGTTCTTGCAACTGCGCAGTCGCAGTGAGGGTGAAAATCTATTGACCACTTTGTCAAGCAGTTTTGGCGTGACTTTCTACCAGCGATTTCACAAAACTGAACCAACTAATTTCTATTTTTTTATGAAACGCACAAATGTTGGCTACTTTTCTCGAGGTTCTAGAAGAAAAACTCTCAAAATAATGTTTCATTTCAAAGTTCGAGTGGTAGTAAACGTCATTTTATCTGCTCGAATGAAATGGTTAATTGTGAGAACTATCTGAATATCAATCAGTTCCAGTGGTGTCAGATTTTTGTTGAGATTTATTAGGTAAATTAGAAATTAATGGTCCAGAATCATGAACATCTTTCTTGGTGGATTTCTTCAACTTGTGGATTTCTAGTAATCAGTCCACAATCTTGAAAGTTGGAAATTCACACCAAATTTGTGCAAATCCACGATTAAAAAAAGTTATGGATTGTGTCCGAAGCAGGGGTTGAAATGGTTGACATTTTTACTACATTCGCTTCGTTGTCGTGCACGACATTCCGTTTCTATGCGTACACTCATGCTCTAACGTCGTCTTCCTCACACATCACAAACGGTAGAATAACATTCGAGCAAAAAGAAAATCTTCAAATTACTATCATATGACATGTGTGATTTCGTTCTAATTCCTCAATTTTGTGGAAATTAAACCATAAGCTATTTTCAGAATTCAAACAAGCACAACATCAGCAGCTCATATTATTATAAAAACTAAAATACATACATTCGTGACGGTCTGCGGCGACAGTGTCGTATGACAGAGTCTGTCATATGACATTTTAATTTGCTACTACTGGCTATGATAGCTTGTTTTTCAAGTATCAAAGGCATTGATTATCACAGAAAATGTGTCGACTACTGTGACCACTTACAAGACTGGTCCGAAGCACGACCGCATTATTGACGTAGCACTACGAGATTGTTTTTGTTCCTCCATTAAATGAACAATATAAGGCCGTTCGCAATGCTGAGTTTCAAAATTGTTTCAAACTACTCGACAGTTCTAAAATTTGAAACTGTCGAAATTTAAACTGCAACACGATCAGTGCAACGCGCAGTTTTGAACGGTGTTTGGTATTCATCTACATATATGAGAGCGTGTGCAAATTTGGTTTGGTTCAGTGATGTGTAATCCAGTGTCAGGTAACGAGTTCGAACCACGAGAAGAGGTCCCGGACGATTCTGCTGACGAAACACGTAAAGAAAGAATGATTATTTATGGACATTGCTGATTATCTGATGGTCTTTGAAACAATTTCTGAGCAACCTGGTATCGTGGGTGCATATTTGAGAGACGCGATTCAAATAGTTGGCCAGTTCAAGATCTTCAAAATTATAATAAATCAACCTGAAGATATGAGAACAACAAGTTTTTGGAGATCTCTGATCACCTGACGGCCTTTGGAATATTTTCTGAGTCACCTGGTAGCATGAGAGAATATCCTGGGAGATGTGGTTTGAATTGTTGTTGTATAGTTTGAAATCTTCATCAGAATAATACCTGATCAACCTGAAGTCTTGAAAAAGTATCCAATGGATTTTATAAACATCTTAAAACACATGGAATAATTTATTAGCTGGCTGGTATCATATGAGAGGATATCTGACAGATGTGATTTAGATTGTTAGATAGTTGGATATTTTCAGAATGTTACCTGATCAACCCAAAGTCTTGGAAACATATCTAAAGGACTTCATGAAGATCTTAGAACACCTGCAGATCATTTGAATTATTTCTGGGCAGCCTGGTATCATATGAGAGAATATCTTCTTGATGTAAAAGACCCAAGCGCTTTCATGAAATTCTGTGAAGAATCATGGATTCCTATGAAGTTCTATAATATACTATGAAATGCCGGAGACGAACCAGCCCATAGCTGAAAGTCTCCTTAATAAAGATATTAAAAAAAATTATAGGGGAAATGGGACGGTACTAATGGATATTTTTGGTTGCTATTGAAAATTGAGTCGATTGCTGAATTTATGTATGGGCCCAAATTAGGGACACTTAGGCCGACATTACAAATATTTCCCCTACTATGGAATTCCTAGAACTACGATGGTATTCCCCGATCTTTTATGAAAATCACTTCTTTGAAATGACCTGAATTGATTTTTTTAAAATACAATTTCTATACAGTTTACTGTTATCTAATAATGTCTCCGGTTTTTTGGTGAAGCTATTCGTTATTTAAACAAAGTTCTCTGAACTTTTATAAAACATCCTCAAACCTCTCAGAAATTTCCAAAATGTCGGTAAAATTCCCGAATTTCTATTGAATCTTCTCAACTTCAATTAATTTTTCTGAACATTTAGGCCTTTCGCTATGCTGTTGTATTTTATATGCACTGCTTCAATTTGAACAGAAACGCACCCCTCGCAATGCTGAGTTGTAGTTTCATCATTTGAGCACTATTTTCACCAATTTGCAACTGTTCGACTATTCTGTTTTATTTCTGAGCAGATTTGAAACATGAATGGAACTCTGTTTCAAAATTGGTAGGAAGTATTTATAGATGTTTATCTTAAATGTTCAGAGAACTTCAGTAGTTGAGAGAATTCAATAGAAATGTGGGAATTTTGCAGAAGTTGTGGAAACTTCTGAGAAGGTTGGGATATTTCATAGAAGTTCGAAGAACTGCATAAAAATACGAAGAGCTTCACACACAAATCGGAGCACTTCATAGAGAACAGTAAACTTTATGGAACTTGTATTTTTAAAAAGTTTCAGGGAGTATCATTGAAGTTTAAGTAATTTCAAAGCAGTGAGACGTAATTCATAAGAGATCGGGAAAAATCATTGAAGTGAAGCGGTGCATTTGGCAACGTGAAGAGCTGCAGTATAGAAATAATATAGGTCTAAGTTAGCCATGAGTTATTTGAATAAAATTCGTTCTTCTTTCGTCGTCGCTCTAACGGACTAGACGCTATTTTACTTTGCTCCATTCCTCCCAAGATGAAGTTCTTTGAATTTCATAGTATATTATAGAACTAGGGAAATGCATGGATCTTTACAGAATTGCATTAAAGCGCTTGCGTCTTTTAAATCAAATGAATATTTTCTTATATGATATCAGGATGCTCAGAAATTATTCCAATGATCCTCAGATGTTTTGAGATATCCATGAAGTCCTCTTTACATTTTTATTTCAATACTTCAGGTTGATCAGGTATTATTCTAAAGATCTTCCACTATCCAACAATTCAAATCACGTTTATTAGATGTTCTCTCATGTTACAAATTTGCCTTAGAAATTATTCCGAAGACCATAGAAGGTGATCAGAGATTAAGGTTCAGGTTGTTTAAGTATTATTCTGAAGATCTTCAACTGTGAAACAACTTAAATCAAGTCTGTCAGATACCAGGTTGCTCAGAAATTGTTTTAAAGGCCACCAGGAGATCAGTGATCTCTATAAATAATCAACAATCCAAATCACATCCCTAAAATATTTTCTCAGAAATTATTTCATAACCCTTCAGGTAATCCGACATCTCAACTCTTTAAGCTGTTCAGGTACTATACTGAAGACATCTGGTTGATCAGGTACTATTCTGAAAATCCCAACCTGTCCAACAATTCAAATATTGTCTCTCCTCTCAGGAAACCAGAAGATCTTCAGGCGATCAGAGATCTCCAAAAACTGCTCTGGATATGTTTTCAATACTTCTGGTTGATCGATTATTCTGAAGATCTTCTACTGTCCAATAATACAAATCACGTCTCTAAGATATTCTCTTGTGATACCACGTTGCTCCTAATTTATTCCAAATACTATCAGATGATCAGATTCCTGCTAAAATCACCGAAGCAAACAAACTTTAAACACACACACACACATATGTGGGGATGCATACCAAACACCTCTTAAAACTGTGTTTTGCGCCGACCGTGTTGCAGTTTCATTTTTGACAGTTTCAAATTTTAGAACTAACGAGTGGTTTGAAACAATTTTGAAACTCAGCATTGTGAACTGCCTTACGAGAAACATCATTAAATACATCCAAAGAAATTTGAAACAGAGATCCATTTGTGTTTCAAACCCGCTCAAAAATAAAACCGAATAGTTGAGCAGTGGCAAATCTGGTACAAAATAGTACTCGAATAATGTAACTGCAACTCAGTATTGCGAACGGCCTAAACAAACATTAGCATACCCCGTGTCCTTAGTTTAGTGCATGTCGTATTACTCCATCACTATTGAGAAATGATGAAGTTTTCGGTTTTGATACAATTGTCATTTTTGCCTTCATCCCAAGGAACCGATTCTAACTGAAAGGTCCCGCTATTTATACCCTTCGGAGTGTTGAAACACCCTCCAAAGGAGCGCCCCCTTGTCAGTCAAAACCAGATTCCTTCCTTAGCAACAAAAATAAGCAATGACACCGATAATGACCATGCATCAGAACCCGAGTCTTAACAACTTCAAACTAGAAAACAACGAATAGAAGATTAGGAGTCACATAGATGAAGACTAACTCATTTTGTTTTGCTTGTTTCAAGTTCATCTTCGGTGGACAAAGCCGAGTATTGTCACTATCAACAAGCCATAAAAAGTAACAAGGACTAAGATGCGTTCCTTTGATTACTGAAAAATCATGATCCCCTAGTTTGAACCAGTCGGGACTAAGATTCGGTAGTAGATCTTACATCCCGTAACGTATCACGAAAAGGTGATCTACCCACGTTACGGGGAAACTATGCGCTAGCAGACGATTGAAAAATTCTACCGGAGTTGACCCTGACGGTATCCCGTCTATAGCTTAGTATACAGATCGACGCGAAACGAAAATTGAAGCACGCGAAAAATCATGAAATTTCGCTAGCGATAAAGGTTGTAAAAAAATGTTTGTGGAACATTTTCCAGTTTCATTTTTTCGCAGTTTACAGTTCATGTGAAACGAAATCGATCAGTTTACACCTCCGGTGAAGTGAAAATCTGACAGATACGCACTTTCTCGAAACGTCAACTTTTCGCTTAGCTGCTGCTCTTTTCGCTAGCGCTGCATGCGCGAAAAAGATACGATCCACAAAATTAGATTTCGCTGGATCGTATCTATTTACAGTTCAAAGCGAAGTGAAAAATTTGCCAATTGCGTTTTTCACGCAGGTGAAAAAATTAGTATTTTGTATGAGGTTTTCGCTTCGCTTCGATCTCTATACAGGCCTTATAGTGGTGAATAAATGCATCCGCTCTCTCACTCTCTCTACGCACCTCTTGCTACTGTGTTCAACCTTTCATCGGAATCAGGCGTGTTCCCAAATGTGGCATAGCTGCCCTCAAAACTCTTTGAGCTGATTGGTCTGGATTTCCTTTCTCACGGCTGCTCGCCTGTTTATCTCAGAGGATGGTTCCCAAATTGACGTAATCTACATGGATTTGTCAGCAGCTTTTGACAAGATGAACAACGAAATCGCTCTAGTAAAGTACAACAAATTAAGTGTTGATTCTGGATTACTCAAATGGCTACGTTTGCAGCTGGTGGGACGTAACATGTGTGAACGCATCGGCAACCATATTTCGTCTTCGTTTCCTGTAACATCTGGTGTACCACATGGAATCTGAGACAATTACTGTTATTGGTGTTTATGAATGACGCCAACTCATTTTTGTTTCACTATGTTACGGTACTATGAGAAGTCCTATGCAGATTACTTCAAGATTTATGAGATTAACGGGGAATTGGGTAGTTTAATTTTGAAAAACATGCCTGTTTTTATTCATCATCTGAAAGAGCTTCCTTTTCTGAGCACAAATATATTTTATCGATCCCATAGACATTCATCTTGATTTGTAAACCAAGTTTTAAATTGTCAATAAATTGAATTCGATGGCATTAATATCACTTAAATGACAGTTTGCTCCATGGTGAGGGGTGCTAAAATGGTGATGCTTGAAAATGTAATCGCACTGATTTAACATAGTTCTTGTGCACCAAAATTTATGAAATTTTGGATTTAGGTTCCATTTTTAATGTAGATTACGAATATGCGAAAACATCAATACCCCTAAACAACCCCATTAGAAAACGCCGAGTTCTTACAACAACAGTTCGAAACGTTTGCTGATTGATGCAGGAAAAACCGTATGGTATTAAACCCATCAAAGTGGTCAGTGATTTCGTTTACCCGCAAATGTTCACCGCTCATCCATAACTACAATTTGTCCGGAGTGTCTCTAGCACGAGAATCTTCGGTCAAATACCTGGGAGTCCTTTTGGACTCAAAGCATCTCGAACGCATCTTCCCAGCTGGGCTTCATATTTCGCTTCACTAATGGTTGCAACACAGACAAACAGACATAACACTCGCAATTGTTCATCGAACAAGCATTTACGGGTCAAATTAAAAGTATCGTAGTTGGTAGTATTGCCACCTGTGGCGTGCATCGTCAATTCCCTTGCGTTTGACGTTTACATACTAACGCCATCTGTTACGCCGTAGATCCAAGGCGGATAATAAAAGTGCCACACAAGGAAGAAGTGTTAGTTTTTTTTTACTAAAATGAACTTCCTATTTCAAAACTACCCAAATTTGGGTAGAATCCACCCAAATTGGTCAAAACTGAACCTACCCAAAAATGGGTAAACTATGTTGGGAGTGACAAGTCGACAAATGAACATAGTCGATCGGATTCATGATGATGTTGTTATTTGTAGTTATTAAATAACTAATAATAATAATAATTTTCTTGGTTCATTTTAGTGAAACCTCTGGTAGAAAGTCTCGTCGAAACTGCGGTTCGAAAATCCACATGTTTCCGAAGAAATGGCATCACTAAACAATTGATCAACAAAGCTAAATGCAAAAAAACATCCTGCGTCGGCCGGGAATCGAACCCGGATCAACTGCTTGGAAGGCAACTATGCTGACCATTACACCACCGACGCCTTGTCAGGTCCTCTGCTCGAAGCGCTATTTGAACCCTTGCCTACCTTCCATCCGGCAGGAACAGCTCCCCAGCCGGGTGAGAATCAGTATCAGCTCCTTAACTAACGCAGCAGCTTCCTCCCCCGTTTCCAAATCCGGCTCGAATACCAACTCCATCAACGGTACACCGGCTCGGTTGAGGTCCACTAGGCTCCTGAAAAAATAATAAATATAATCACACACAACCCCCGTCAATCTCGAAAGCTACGAACTTCCTTTCCACGGGATCGTGCAACGATTTCCCGCTGTCCTGCTCCAGCTGCAGCTGGAGTAGTCGGGCCGATTTGTAGTACGGCTTTCGGGTGACGCCCGGAATGAAAACCGGAAAAGTCAACAGACCTCCCCTCGCCAGGGGAGCTCGCTGCTGAGTAATCTGATAGCCGGCTGGCAGATCTGCATAGAAGTAATGCTTCCGATCGAACATCGACACCGGATTGATGGTGCAGCCCAGTGCCAGCGCGGTTCGCACCCCGAGTTCAACACATTTCCGGTTCAGCACCGGAAGCGTCCCCGGAATCGAAGCATCGAACAGGGAAACACAACCGTTGATGGGAGAAGAGAATGCCACTTCCGCTCCGGAGAACAGCTTCGAAGCGGTTAGGATCTGAGCGTGCACTTCCAACCCGATTACGCTCTTCCAACGGTTCGGTCTGAAAGCAGGTTAACACATTGGGGAAAAATATTGAGAAAACAAAGCAACACTTACCTGGATACTTCTTTGATAGCTGCTTTTGATGCATAATTCCGTTGGCGAACGTTGAAAATAATGGAATTCCGGCGAAACAACGCATTCCAGGACATTATTTTGTCAAATTTTATCTGAAAATTTATAGGAACTTTTTCGCAGACCGGCTGCGGAAAGATTTTTTGTGACAGCGCAACCACTGACCGCGGTGTTGCTATGAGTACGACTCTGTGGCAGAGGAGCGATGCAACATTCGAGCAGTTTTGTTTGTTGCATCCACCTTCGTATGCAACGTATACGAATACGAATCAGTTTCGTGATTTCGATGCCGTCGGGGCAACGTGTTGCGGTCGTTTCGGTTTTGTTTTTTGCGCGAATTCGTTGGTGAATGTGTCCTAAAATGTAATTAAAGGGTCTTAAAAAGCTGATAAATATCCACCAGTGTTGAATGTGTGATTAAAAAGTGTAATCTTGAACGATTATTGCATGCAAAAATGACCGATTGAGCTGGGATCGTAAATCGCAAAAGATTGAAAAGTGAGTAGCCATTTTCCTTAATTTGTGATAAACTGGCCCAACGGTTACTCGCAGCAGCGGATTGTTAAACATCATTTGAACTGATCTAATTACAAAGTCAGTAATGAAGAAAGGTCTTCATTTAGAAATGGGAACAAATCAAAATTAAAAAAAAAACATTCGCCGTGATCGGGAACTGCTGCATCAGCCGGTGTTTTTGTTTTGAAAATCGCTGCCAACCTTACGGAACCGAAGTGCACTTTTGTTTTGCTTTGCAGAGTATCCCGAGTAAAAAGGGATAACAAGCTTAGAACAATGGTATACATTAGGAAGGAAACGAAATTTTTGATTTGATTATTGCGCATTTCACACCAAACTGGACAGATAAGCACGTTTCCAGTTATTAAAAAAGTGTGAAAATAGTACGAGTTTCCGTCTAATCGTTTTGGTATCTTTGATGCAAGCTATAAGTGTTCCGAAGGCACCAAAACGATTTGACCGTACACTTTTATCACTTTTTTTTTGCATTTTTGGGGCAGTCCAGTTTCAGATGTAATCAGCAATAATATAGTTAATTTTTAAATTGTAAGAATCATTGCCCCTAATGTTACAACGGCGTAATCCGCTTCTTTGTTTTCCATTTCAGATATTTAATCAAACGCTTTTAAGCATCATGCGGTGAGAAGATTATGTTTTGTTCTATTGACGCAATTTGTCGGTACGGTGTTCGCGAGATTCTGCTTAAAGAACTCAATGTTGCCTAGACGATCAATAAAAATCCAACGTCCCTGCATTGAAGTGGGATCCAGATGCTCGGTAAAAATCCATTTACATCAACTGTATCCTCAATAAAAAAAACTAGTGGATTAGTGCGTCTCTGGGTGGCGTCTTATGTAAATGCAAGAATGGTAAAGTGTTAAAAGATAAGGGTTATATTTCTAAATCACGGTTTCGACTACCTGTAAAAACCGTAAAATCAGGGAATTCGCTAACTGGGCTGCGCTTTTAGCCCATAGTTAGCGAACAAGTACTGTAGATAAGCAGAGCAAGGCGTGACAAATGTTAACGACGCTGGATCTAGTTGGGTCAAACAAACAGTCATACCATTGAGTGGGTTCTTAAACAAGCACTGCTCTATTTTAGTTCTTTATTGTGTGCTCAAGTTTTAATATGTTGATGTTGCTCAAATGAAATAGGGTTAACTACCGCATTTCCGGCCTATTAAGCACAGCTCGCACTTAGTCTTTCTTAATCTAGCGCAGTTTAGCACCAAACGGAATGTTATTATTACTGATGGCTTCCAAATTTATTTACCTTTCCGTACGTACCGTAAGATTTGATAAAGAGATACCAATCGTTGAGATATTGTCAAAAGTCTAACACTGCTTCTTGACGCCAAACTCGGCCTACGGATTCTAAACTCGGCCTAACGCATTGCAACGCCATTGAAACGCCAATGAATTCACTTCGGCCTATCGGATGAAGATAAAAATTGATTCGGTCGGAGCGCTTCTTTTGTTTTTGGGAATAATGGGTGCAAACCTTCATATCACGCGTTCTCATTGACTTCGTTCGGTAGCTTATTAACTAATGTATCGTACAAAACGCATAATTGACTTGTTAACTCTGAAATCATGGATTTATTTGAAGTTGTCTGATCGATAGGCCCAAAATGGGCGATTAGGCCGAAGTAGTTCTCTACCCTATGTTTGGATTCAATGAAACTCAAGCAGGAGTTCAAGTGAAGTAAGTTCTTACAAGTTGTTCTCAGAGATGCTCTATTCGTCTCGAGTTACATCGAGCTTCAAACTGCTCGGATAGAAACTTTATTCATTCCTCATAAAGGGTGTTACGATCAAAATTTGATCGACTTAAGCTTGACGCATTTCTTTTAATTGAGCATTTAAAAAACCGTGAACGCCCCTCATTTTGTAGGTATGTGCGTGCAGAATGATGCCTCTATTCTTATAGGCTCTTTTCATGCACCACCAATGTAGAATGCGCTAGCCGATTTTGAGAGGAAATGTCATCCAATCCAATTGTTTACATCATAATGACGATTTTCAAATTAAAAAATAATGTTCATTTTATTGCACAACTTCCAAATTTCCATCGGGAGTGGTCTTATTTTTCGATTATCTACAGATCTGAATTGATTTACAACTGAAATAACCACACATTAAAAATCCGGAAGATCATAACCGGTGAGACAATTTCATAAATCTTAATTTTTCTCACCAAAAATATATGGAAGCACTATCCGGATCACTGCAAACCCGATACAGAAAACAAAATATTCCACGTGGATGATGATTTCAAGCACCTGCGGTGGATAAATTAATCAGTAAAGGTGACAATATTTCCCTTTTCCTATGATTTACGGTGAAAATTTCCACCTTCATCACTCTTTTGATGGTTCCCCTATTCACCGCCAGAAGCTGAAACAATCGCTTAGTTTCTATTGGATTCGCCTATCACGACATTTGCCCTTCACTTTTAAAAATGGCGTCCAAGCAAGAGGAGCAACACATCAAAATTTCGCACGCGCATCATGAAAATCCGAACTACTCGCACGCTGAGTTAGAGAAATCGTTAAAAGTGGACAAATCAACTGTTACCAACGGGGATCGTTTGTCGACAGCCAGGAAGCCGCAGCGACGACAAAAAGAGTGGCCTGCGGTTTCAATAGGAACTCCAACCTCTCCGTTCGAGATGTCACAAACAAGCTGGGAGTGTCGTCTACAACCGTGCATCGAGCTAAAAAACGAGCCGAACTGTCGACTTATAAGAAGGTAGTGACTCCAAATCGCGATAAACAAAACACGATGCTGACGAAGTTCGATTACGTGCTAATGGACGACAAAACCTACGTCAAGGCAGACTTCAAACAGCCTCCTGGGCAGGAGTGTTATACGGCAACCGGAAGAGGAAAGGTGGCAGACATTTTTTAAGAAAACTGTCGAAGTTCGCTTAGAAATATCTGGTTTGGCAGGCTATCTGTACCCGTGATTTTTTTTTTGCTTTATTATAGAGACTTACAGCCTTTAGCTGGTTCGTCTCTTTGAAGGATTGGGACTTCTGAGGGTTTCCCGGAGAGAGAAAATAAATAAATTACAGAGCTTAAGTATCTCAGAGTTCTGTGTCGATTGTTTTAACAGTAAGGAAGGTGAACGAAGCTGTGGTTAATTTCCGAGAGAGAGAGAATCGATGTCCGTAGTCTGCAGGGTTGTCATCGTTGTTCTTCCGTTTGACATGTCATTTAGAGAGCTGGTGTTGTCCAAGTGCCGTCGTTCGTTCGTTGTCGTGTCATTGTTCGTTGCGGGGTTCTACGTACAAATATTGATAATAGCCTGTGTCTTTAAGGAAGTCGAGAAGTGATCTTTCCCTGTCTGGGTCATTGGATAATGCGTCTCTGATGCTGAGACCGATACCGTATTGGTCTCGGAGGTTTTGATGTGCAGGGCAATTTATTATGAGATGTTCAACTGGCATTTTGGTTGAGCACCCCATACATTGTTTGTGGAATCCATCACGGGATCCGAGATCGTATGAGAATCTGGTGTAGCCGCAGCGTAATCTGGACAGTACTCTTTGGTCCTTCCAGTTTTTGGTGTCGGACCAGCTGTTAGCGACGCGATCGATTTACACGTGCGAAGGAACGCTATCGCTGCTAACAATTTATTTTATTTGTCGGGCGAAGGAGTACTCGACCAACTGCAAGTTGGAAACCTTGCTATTTTCAATTTTATTGAAATTCCCGCAGGACTCAAAGCTAGTTGCTCTACCAGGGTGAGAGCCTGTACCTATTGAGTGGAGAGAGTCTCAATCAATTGGAAATATAGTTTTTAGCTCAGAAATACCTTTGAGATTTTATGCCCAAGAGCCAGTACTCTAACTATTGTGAGAGCCTATTCTACTTTGGGAATCTACAGTTTTTCTTGAACTAGAAACTTACCAAGGAGTTTTCGGATGAAAACAACGATACAGCCGCATTGAGTATCACTTATGAACTAACTTTATTCTACAATTCTTTTCCCTTATATAGCGAAATTCTATCCTAAAAATGATCCTCGAGTAGAAAAATTCCTTAATCTAATGTGTAGGTGAAAATGAGACAACATTAAAAAACTAGATTCCTTCCTACATTTAAAGGGTGATACGGTCAAAATTTGGTCAAGGGAAAACGCGTGTAAATCGGTGAAATCGTTTATTTAAAAAATCAAATTAAATTTCTTTTTCAAGTTCAATTAGTATAAAATTCAGGAAAAATATTCAGTTAGGCTTCCGCTTTTCCAAATCCGAATTGCCGGGCCTTACGCTTGACCCCTGCCATCAGATTTTGTACAGCCACCTTGTCCAACTTCTTCGCCGCAGAAAGCCAGTTTGCCTTGAACTGCTGCTCGCCCTTAGCAGTTTTTTGGTCTTCTTTAGGTTCCGCTTGACAATAGCCCAGTATTTCTCAATTGGGCGGAGCTCTGACGTGTTGGGAGGGTTCTTGTCCTTGGGAACCACCTGCACGTTGTTGGCGGCGTACCACTCCATTGCCTTTTTACCGTAATGGCAAGATGCCAAGTCCGGCCAAAACAGTACGGAGCAACCGTGTTTCTTCAGGAAAGGCAGCAGACGTTTATTCAAACACTCTTTCACGTAAATTTCT